AATTTTTCCCCCCCCTGGGTTAGACCCCCCCCCCCCTGTAATTTCTTTTTCTTGTTGTCTGGGTCCCCATTGGGGAGATTCGTCCCTCAATTTGTACTGGTCATGCAGAAAGTAAGGGGAAATAAATTCATTGTAGTTGTCCTCAGAGCAACAAGAGGTGAGGGGAAATCTTCCAACGGGGGACGCCTGTTCAAGGGACAATTCATCTTGTACTGGGAGCCAGTCAGTGCTGCATTGCTGATGTGTTAGCAAGGGACATGCTGATAGGAGGCGAGAGGAGAGTGACGAGCTCATCGGTCTGCTGCTTCACCTTTCACTGTTCAGTCCCAGACCCCAGGGGGAAGTTTGGGGAGTTTGGTTTCAGTAGCAAAGCGAAATGTCCCTTGCTAATGTTTTAAGAAGGGACATGCTGATAGGAGAGATCAGAGTGAGAGGTGAGCTCATCAGTCAGCTGCTTCTCCTTTCACTGTTTGGTCACAAGCATTTGAGAAGGGGGGTTTGGTGGTACTAGCAAAAAATCAGGTCTCCTGCCCTGCCAGACAGGGCTTTGTGGAAGGACTGTGCAAGTCTCATGACTGGATGGACAGATCCTTTGCCAGCTAAAATCTCACTATATGTACATTATAGTGTGTGTGTATAATAGGGATGCACCGATACCGTTTTTTCAGTATCGAGTACAGATATATTTTTTCCCAGTACTCGCCGATACTGAGTACCGATACCGGAAGTCCCATTAAGGAAGCCAGGCGGTGTGTAATGACTAGCCACCCGGCTTTCCGATTTTAGCAGGGAAGCCGTCCCCATGCTCCCTCGTCACCAGGTGACAAGGGAGCATGGACTTATACATATACATATACATATACATATACATATACATATACATATATATTATAGTGTATATGTGTGACACACAGAGCCTATGAGTCTTCTTTATCGGTATCTCCACATTTCCTGCCTGGCCTTGTTGCCGGCCTGAAGGTTGGCTAAATCATTTCACAAATCTGCACAATTATCGTCTCTTCTGGGCTCGGCCGTTGGTAACATGACTGCAGCGATCATGTGTCTGCGAAGCTTTCCCTCTAATGTAACCAAACAGCAAAGTCATTGTTCCTGGTTGGAAACAAAATCATTCGGTGATGTATCCCGTTGCCCAGTTTGTTTTGTATTACAAGGGAGTCTAAGCCGTCTGTGATGATGGCCCATGAAACAAGAGATCTATATTGTAAATGGCAGTGAAATGGATGCTTCCTGTTTGCTCTCGTTCTGCTCTTTGTTGTTACCTAGTTCAGTCATGTCAGTAAAAGTAACGTAACGGGGGATTTCCACTTTATATAGAAGGTTGTGCCGTCATAATGCTCACATAGTTTATTATTGTCCTCCGGTTTACACTTCTTGATGTCCTCACCTTTTGTAGGAGTGTAAGCTGTAGGCGTGACGTTTTTAATGCAGCTGTTAGTAGGTAGCGAGTCCGGTTCCCTAACAAGCCCACCCAAAAGGTGCGTCTAAGCTTGCGTTCACACTAGCAGCTGCTACGCTACAACGCAGTTAGAGGAATGTTACCCCTGTATTTGAAATGACAACAAAGACACCTTTTAGAAATGTTTAGTAATGACAATCTACACACACATACTTCTAGATAATTACCGGCTTTGTATTCTTTGCATTCCTTATTTTTCTTTTTCTTCCCCAGTCTTCTCACAGCGGCCATTTTTACTAAGGGCAGATGAATATATCTCCCTTTACTTCCTGGAACTCTGATGCATGTGACCAGGACATGTGACCATGCACATCATCTCTGCCTTTCCCTGAGATCTCATGAGATTACAGATGAAATTTCCCAGCAATGCTCTGCTGATGTAACCTTCCCGGGATGCAACGCTTGGGCACATTACATCACTTGTGCCCAAGAGGACCAGGAAGTGGAAAAACAGTAATTCTAAGTGAAAGCAAAATTGCTTTTAACTAATGAATGTAAGATTTCATGTCGGCATGCACAGTTGCATGCTAATGTGACTTAAAGTGAAAGGTCCGCTTTAAGATCTATGGGCAAGGTGTGGTGCGATGTGGTTGTACTGTGACGTGGCCCGCTTCACAACGCTGCATGCAGTCCTAATTTTTTTTTTCCAGCACACACCACCGCAACATGGTGGCTTAAACTGTGCCTATCCCTAAAAAGACATATTGCCTTGCCTTGTGTTGGGGCTGAGCTGGAATAAATCACCAGTGCATCCCAATGCATTTGATGTGAATCAACCCCAAGGCCTCATTCACATGGAACGTGAAGGGCCATACATTGATGCGCCCGGAACTGCGGATAGAAGTGTGCGAGCAGCTTATGCAGGAGCAGTGCACCCTCATGCTGCTTCCCGCAGCTTTGAGTTTCTGGATCCATCATATCTACATCCGAGGCCGTACACCATCTGTGTGCAGCCGTCAGATCTCCATAGCCGTACACGAGCTGTCCGCACGCTTCTCTACCCGGCTTCGGGCGCATCAAAAAACAGCCCTTCATGCTGCATGGGCCAGCGCGCCCCGTGTGAAAAGAGGTTGGTTTGTAAAACTGCCCAGCTGTTTACCCAGCACTCCCGCCACTAGATGGAGCTGAGGAGCATTCCTATACTTGGCTACATCAGTAGGAATGCCATGCAAATGGCAATGACCCAGCTATATGTATGGCTAGGCGGACGTTTTATAAATCAAGTGTTTTTTTTCTGAGCGAAATGACTCGGTAACATTGCTGATTGGTTATTGTGTGATGGCTGAATTTTCTTAGGCTCTTCTGCCTCCATCAATAGAAACACAGTCTATGTTTATACAGGCCCACTGCTGTCCATACGCTCAGCCCATGTCAATGGCTGCCACTACTTTTACTGTGAGCACCCCTTTTCATGCCGCCTGCTGCTGGTTTGTCATCCACTTACCCAGAGGAAAAATTCAAAATATTAACATACACTTATAAAGCCATCCACAACTCCGCCCCCGGATATATCTCAAACCTTGTCTCAAAGTATCACCCTAACCGTCCCCTTTGCCCTTCCCAAGACCTCCTGCGTTCCAGCTCCCTCGTCAACTCCTCCCATACTCGCCTCCAGGACTTCTCTAGAGTCTCTCCCATCCTCTGGAACTCTTTACCCCAACCTGTCAGTCTGTCTCCCACCTTGACTGCCTTCAGGCATTCCCTAAAGACTCATCTCTTCAGGGAAGCCTCTCCCACCTCAACCTAACCACTGAACCATTCACATTCTCAAACATTCATCCCCACACAGCTACCTCCTCATGTATCATTGGCCCCTCCCTTTTAGATTGTAAGCCCTCAGGGGCAGGGCCCTCCTTACCGTCTTGTCTTGAATTGTATTGTGATTGTAATGTCTTCCTTATATTGTAAAGCGCTGCGCAAACTGTTGGCGCTATATAAATCCTGTGTAATAATAATGTGGATTTCATCTCCCGAAGCCGCCTGTGCACTAACGGCACTTTTCTTCTTCTTTTTACAGACTCTAAATGGATTCTAGGAAATCGGCTTCAGACTTACACGGTAAGATTGTATCACACTTAAAGACCTTCCTTGTGCTGTTGTTTCCCACAATGAATAGGCCAAGGCTGACTTGGTCTGCAGAAATGTACTGGGGAGCTCTATGATTATATCTCAGCGGCTGACATGATCTCAGTCATTCACCTCGTATCGCCATAGGTGAGCATGTAGCTGGCGACAGCTGATCAGCCACATGTGTGAAGGAGACTACACAACTGCTGCTATGGCATTGCTTCCTCGCTTACCAGCAAGGCAGCAGCAGAGCAAGGGGTGAGGAGAACTCTTTCAACAGAGACTCCTTTGCTGGGGACAACTGCTCTTGCACAGGGAGTGTAGCTGGTCTGCATTACTCATGTGCTAATAAGGGACATGCTGGTAGGAGTGGAGAGATGAGCTCATCAGTTTGCTGCTTCTCCTTACACTGTTTGGTCACCGTCTGGGGTGTGGGAGCGAGGGGACAAGCCATGCAAACAGGCACGCTCACTGGAGCTTTGTGGTCATGTTACCATTTGGAAAAAGACTTTAAAGGAGAACTATGAGGCGAGTGAAAATCACTCAGCCTCATAGTTCTAGCCGACCTGTGACAATGAAACTGTCACAGGTCGGCTCAATAGATCGGGAAGTGAGCAAAGACATACCGTCGCTCGCTCACTTCTCGATCATCTCCCTGCAGGGATTCCCCCCTCCCCGCTCCGATCCTCCAGCGCTGACTGGCGGAACGGACGGGGGCGGGGACAGCTGGCTCTGCCTCTAGATAGGCAGAGCCAGCTGTCACTCACGCAGCTGGGTGGATCCAGACAGTAATGTTGGGATCTGTTCCGGCTGCGGCGTCTCAGTATGCTGAGCTTTGAGTGACGGGAGGACGCTAGTATATGTCCTCCCGTTACCCTTGGGAGAACTACGGGGAAAAGTCCTGACCCGATGGTTCTCCTTTTAAACAGGTATATACATTGAGATTTATTACAAACTGTATGCAGCAAATATAAGCAGTGGGGAGGCAATATTTGAAAGGGGGGGGGGTTATTGCATAGCCTTTCCTTGTACTGTAACTTTTTGTCTTGTTTATAATTTAATTGTAACTATAAGTTACATCCTGATGTGTGGGCTGTGCAAAAATGGTCTCTTGACAGTAAGTTCAGCCAACTTCGGGGTTATTCTGCAAAGTGTGAAGTTTCTGATTTTGTCTGCGACAGTCAGTTAGGCCTCGTTCACACCAGATGCAGTGCATTCCGGGCCCGATTCTGGCCAGAACGCACTGCCTCGCATTGCGGCCGGTTCACTTTTTTGTGGGGCAGGAGGGGCTTGGCGGGCCATTGAAGTGAATGGCACCGTAGCCACGCCGTCCGGCCGCAATGCGGGCCGCATTGGATCGCAAGGCACATTATGCCTGTGGTCCGGTCCGGTGCAATCAAAATAGTGCTTGCAGCATTTTGACCGGACCACAGGCATAGTGTGCCTTGCGATCCAATGCCGATCGCTTTGCGGCCTGGGGGACGTGGCTACAGTGCCATTTACTTCAATGGGCCACCACGCCCCCTCCTGCCCCACAAAAAAAGTGAGCCGGCTGCAATGCGAGGCAGTGCGTTCTGGCCAGAATCGGGCCGGAACACACTGCATCTGGTGTGAATGGGCCCTTATGTAAAATCATTCTGGTGTCTTGTGATGAACATGATCCTTGATGTGGCACAAGCCATCACCCTATTATTGTTTGTTCCCTAGGGCCATTTAGTCACCTAGAAGATGTCCCGTTCAAGATTGGCGACAAGTTCAGAGTGCCAGATAAAGTCGGCTTACCTATCGGGTTCTGTATGCCAGACATTAGTCATCTTCTAAGTGAGGCTCAGGTGAGTGTGTCTACGGTAATGATGGATCTTTACTAGACTTTGCCATACATGTGCTTGGTACCGCACCAGAACCTCTGCAGTTCTTGGACTTGTTGATACCGGACATATGGCAGGGGTGGGCGATTAATTTTTTCAATGGGCCACATGAGAAACTGGGACTGTTTTGGCAGGCCGAACCAATAGGCCCCATTGGTTCGGCCCTCCACAAAAGTCCCAGTTTCTCATATGATTAACCTACTGTAGTGCACCACGCACTTACTGTATGTTACAGTGCAGAAGTTGCATTGCCATTCATTAGAACGGCTCTCCAAACGAACCTTCTGCAATACCTTGCGGTGCGGTGGCAAAAAGTAGTACAGGCAATGCACCTGCTACACTGTAACGCATGGTAGGTGCATTGCGCGGTACCATGCATTTATCACATGGAACCGTGCGATTAAGGCAAGGCATAGGTGTGGGCGGGCCCTTATTTGTCGCCATATACTTTGTGGCACATACATGCTGCAGGAGAGGACGAACATCCCAGCATTATGCACGACCTACTGTAATTCTGGCGGTGGGAAGACATTTGGCAGTGGTTGTTAGGACTGCTCAGCGATCCAAGAAACCAATGACGGCAAAGGAGGAGGACCCCCTGATGTCATTGGTTGCTTGGACTGCCCAATGGTCCTAGCAACCAGTGACGATAGAGGAGGAGGAGGAGGATCCGTGAGGTCATTGATTGCCAGGAGGCTAGCAGTCCTAGCAACCACCAACTGAAGAGGAACATGGTCCCGAGATGGACTGATCGCCGACCTGTGCTGGGCTATGTCTTGCAGTAGATGCGCCGGCCTATGCCAGCCAGCCAGAAATGACCGCAAGTCGGTGATTGATCTGTATCTGGACCGCGGGCCAGACAGGTGCAGACAAAGAGCTGGACATGACCCGCAGGCTGTAAAATGCCCAGGTCTGACATACAGTATGGGATACTTGTTACATCACAGAAAGGTGTATAAATGCCCATGCGGGACAAAGCAACAGGTTAACTTTGATCCTGAGCTATAAATCTTTTTCTTCTCATTGGGGACAAGATAGATTAAAAAAAAACCTGACAAAGGTACTAACCCTTCCATACTTAAAACAAAAAGTGTCACCAGGTTTTAACATATAGGGCAAAGAATTGACTCAGCTCTTCAGTATTATATAAACCTTTTTTCTTATTTTGTTCCTAGTATGACTTCTCTTTGGAGAAGAAGACCATCCAATGGGCTGAGGAGGTAACACAGATTAAATCTGCCCAACGAGAAGCCGAACGGAAGTCGGAAGCCTCTCGTTCCCAAGCAGACCTTGACACTAAGGGCGAGAGCGAAGAAAATGAGGCCGTTGGTCGCCCACCTTCCCTCCACCCCATAAACGTCAGCCTCCAGCACAACAGCATCCTTACTCCTACCCCTGCCAACAGCCGTGCCATACCCCAAAAAGTGCTGAGCACCAAGGCGGACTTCAACCCTGCCGACTTCGAGTGCGAGGAGGACCCGTTTGATAAATTGGAGCTAAAAACGATTGACGAAAAGGAGGAATTAAAGAACATCATCCTTGAGGTTCATATCAGCCCTGTTGCGGACCCGGACCTGGACTCGAGTCATACTGACACCGTCCAGGGCTCGCAGGCTTTGGTGAAAGATGAGGATACCCACACCACCATCAAACAAGAAGCACTGGACTTCAAGCACCTGCGAAAACCCAATGGTTTGATCACTTTATTGCAGCTGGAGGACTGTGAACTGCCCCCGTCTTCCCAAGTGTCCCTTGCTCCCATCAACTCAATCAGCAATATCAAATCCCTGTTTTTCCCCAAAATAGACTCTGATGACAGTGACCAGAAGACAGCATTCATAAGCACTACCTGCCTGCCCAACGGCACATTCCGGGACTCTATAATATACTCTTCTCCAAACAATGGCAGTGATCTGAACGGGCACCTTACTCGGGGTCAGGCCTCACATTTAGACAGTGGGATTGCACAGCCCACCTTACCTCCTTCCTCTCTAGCTTCCGTGGTATCTGTTCCTGGTAAAGATGGAATAGCACGGACCTGTTTGAACAGTGATCCTAAGGTAAGAGGCAGCTTGAACGTTCCTTTTCTTGATTGTGTTGTTTGGTTACAGTTCCTTTTGTTGCTTTTAGTTGCTTCATTACAGTGATATAGGCCTAAAGGGAACCAAGAAGGCCTCCACCGAGGATGACTTGAAGAGGCTCTGTCACTGAGAGGGAAGGGGCAGAACCTGGTCCAGGTATAAAGAGCAGGTATCTAGAGGTGCATATACCCACAGCAGCCCTCCCAAACCTTCCTGTCATGGCCGAATCTCAGGGCTGTCCAAAGGCAAAGCTTTGGGACTTCTGAAATGGTGCCGAAGCTTGTCCGCCCCTTCCTCCTTCCTGTGTGGTCTTATTGCCAAGTGAGGCTGCCCATCATTTCGATGGGTCAAGAGGAATTGTCTGGCAATAGCGCAATCTTTACAGACGGAGCCACCTGCAAACTTATTATTGATGAGATCTCCAGGAGAAAGATTTTCCCAGCGAAAGCTCCTGGTTTTCATTGCCAACTTTAGACCTGCTAGGGAGATTGTCCCTGTTTAAAGCTGCCCACACACCTTACAATTTATCTGCAGATTTTGTGTGGTCAGATGGAAAAGGTGTAACAGATTTCCTCCATCTACACTTAACTGTGTGGATGGAGTAATCTCCACCTGGGCCAATCTGTTGCACTTTTTCCATCTGACCACAGTAAATCTGCAGATAAATTGTAAGGTGTGTGGGCACCTTAAGACATTATTATTATACGGGATTTATACAGCGCCAACAGTTTGCGCAGCGCTTTACCATATAAGGAAGACATTACAATCACAATACAAATCAAGACAAGCTGGTAAGGAGGGCCCTGCCCCTGAGGGCTTACAATCTAAAAGGGAGGGGCCAGTGATACATGAGGAGGGAGCGGTGTGGGGATGAATTGTTTGATAAAGTGATAGTTCCGTGGTTAGGTTGAGGTGGGATAGGCTTCCCTGAAGAGATGAGTCTTTAGGGATAACCTAGAGGTAGTCGGAGTGGGAGCTAGTCGGACAGGTTGGGGTAAAGAGTTCCAGAGGATGGGGGAAACTCTAGAGAAGTCCTGGAGGCGAGCATGGGAGGAGTTGACGAGGGAGCTGGAAAGCAGGAGGTCTTGGGAGGAGCGGAGGGGACGGTTAGGGTGATACTTTGAGACAAGGTTTGAGATATAGCCGGGGGCGGAGTTGTGAATGGCTTTGTAAGTGATTGTTAATATTTTGAATTGTATTCAATGAGGAGGGAGTTAAAGTAGTCAAGACGAGAGATAACAAGGGAGTGGATGAGTAATTTTGTGGTTTCCTTGGTGAGGAAGGGGCGTATTTTGGAGATGTTAGATAATAGCTTGCTGCTTTGTATGTGTATAGCAATCATGTGATTATTAAAATGACTTCCAACTGTCTACCAAGCTCAAAAGCATTTACATAGTCCTGTGTGTGCTGCGCCTGCTCCGCGTGCCGCCTCTGGCTGCGCCTGCTCCGCGTGCCGCCGCTGGCTGCGCCTGCTCCGCGTGCCGCCTCTGTCTGCGCCTGCTCCAATAGGCTCTATAGTGTCGCGTGAAATCGCACATTACCGGTGCTACAGAAGGGTCACTTCTGCTCTGCAAAATGGAAGTAAAGAATGATGTCACATCAAGATCGCTGTTGATTGGTTACAGGCCAATGTAGCAGCGACGAAGTCCCGCCCAAAAAAACACGCTAAATGTCACGCGATAAAATGCGCACTGTCGCTCAATTACGCGCAATGTAGCTCCTAGTCGCGCGGAAAAACGTGCAATATCCATGTCGCTCAGTGTGAATGGGGTGTTAGCATCTAATCACAGGCTGGGGGAGGAAAAAGACCTGCAAGTGTTGTACAACAGCAGCAGAAAAACATCAGGTCGTCTTTCCTGCCAGATAGGACTGTGCCGTGTGGCAGAGCTGTATACATATTAGAACTGGATGGAAAGAAATACAAATCGTTTGACCAATAAAAAAAATGTCACTTTAGATCAGTGGTTCCCAACCTGTGTAACCTCAGGACCCACATTTGTCCCCGTTCATTAAATGGCGACCCAAGTCGCACTGCATGGGAACATACGGCATTGAAGTACCGGGCGTTCGGGGATCAGGCGTTTGGAAAGTGGGCGGGGGGTGCGTCTGGGGGTCTCATTCAAATGAATGGCAACGCAGCGCACCTCCCGCACCAGAACGTGCAGTAGGTGCAATTTCGTGCTACACGGAGCCTCAAAAACACTGACAGACGCCCACAACTACAGACTCGCGCACTCAGACATTCTCACACACACACTCCAAAAAAAATTATCTTTTTTTTTTTTTTTTTTTTAAGGTCCACCCAAGTCACTTACAAGAACTGGAGTGGATCCTCAGCTTGGGGTCCAGTGTGGGCTGCTGTGCTGTGACGGAGCTTCATCCATATGTGCATTGCTTGTTCAGTTCCCTTGCATGCCCTGTAGAGGTGTCGGGAGGCAGAATGTGATGTCACCCTGGTCCAGGCACCTCTACAAGACACGTGAGGGAGCTGTAAGCAATGCAAGTATGGATGGAACTCGCTCAGGCCATCGCTCCACCCCACCCCAAGCTGACACTCAGTGCCGGGCAGCATATTTTTAATGGCTGCTTGGTGTGAGAACTGACGGTGCTGCGCTAGGGGGAGGCTGAGGAGCCTCTCACCTAGAAAAGTGGAAGGCACGCGGCGACCCACTGAACACGGGACTACAGCAAAACGTTTCCCAGCACACTCACCAGCCAGCATGCAAAAAAACTTGGCTGACCGCTAAGGTTAAAAACAGAGGTTTGGATACACTTCTTCTGCAGAAAATGTGAGAGCCGCACCGCGGCGCCAAGGCACCTCCATATAGTGCGGTCCTAACTCTAAACTATTAGAGTCTCCATTTTGGAGCACATGTGGCAAAAGATCAAATTGCGTGCAGGAGAAGTGTATCTAAACCTCTGTTTTTAACCTTAGCGGTGAGACAAGTTTTTTTGCACGCTGGCTGGTGAGTGGGCTGGGAAAACTTTTTTGCTGTTGTCTCGTATTAAAGGAGAACTATGACATGAGTGATTTCCACTCCACTAGTTCTAGCCGACCTGTGACAATGAGACTGTCACAGGTCGGCTCAGTAGATCGGGAGGTGAGCGAACACATACCGGCGTTCGCTCACCTCTCGATCCTGTCACGGCTCTCTGCTGTGACAGGGGAGGTACTGGATTCTCCCCTTCCTGCTCCGATCCGCCAGCGCTGACTGGCGGAACGGACGGGGGAGGGGGCGGGTACAGCTGGCTCTGCCTCTAGATAGGCAGAGCCAGCTGTCAGTCACGCAGCTGGGCGGATCTCCACAGTAGTATCGGGATCCGCTCCGGCTGAGGCATATCAGTATATAGTGAGCTACAGCTCGCGGTATACTGAGCTTAGGGTGACGGGAGGACGCACCGCTTTTAACGCCTGCATGCCCTTCCACTCCAAACGCAAAAGATGCTGCTTGGTCTGTTCTTTGCGTTTGCAGTGGAACAGAACGCAGGCAAAGTTTTGCCACGATTCCAATCGCACGGCGGGGGTGCGTGGAAGCGGTGCCATTTAATTCAATGCACCGCCGCGCCCACTCCCGCCCCAGAACGCAGGGGGAAGTTTCGTGAGGGATCGCTGTGCGTCCCAGCAGCTACCACTCTAGAACACACCGCTTTTCGGTGTGAACAAGCCCTCAACCCCGGATTGTGATCTGGTATCAGCCTCTTGTGCTCCCTGTACAGGAATGTGAGGAGGAGAAGAAGCAGCAGCACAAAGCCAAATCTGTTCATGTGCTGACAAGAAGAAGGCTGATAGGAGGAGAGATCAGAGTGAGGAGTTCATCACTGTGCTGCTTCTCCTTTCACTGACCAGTAAAGGGTGTGGCATGGGTGTGTCTGTTGGGGGAAGGGGGGCCTCAGATGAAGTGGATTGAATGTTGCTGGCATCTCTATATATATCTCTATACACATATATATATATATCTCTATACACACACACACCCAGGAAGCCGGGGGGGGCGCGAGCGAGTCATTGCACGCTGTCTGGCTTCCTGATTGTTCCTAATAGGTTGGACTTGATGGACTAATGTCTTTATTCAACCTCAAATACTATGTAACTATGTAACTATGTAACTATGATTGGCCAGGAAGCCGACTTCATGCTCCCTCGTCACCAGCTGCTGCGGAATCATGGAGCTGCCTTTGTGGCCAATCAGGAAGCCGGGCTGTATATAATGACTCGCCTCCCGACTTCCTGGTACCGGAAGTTCCCGTATCAGGAATAGTATCGGAGCATTTTGGCGAGTACTTGCCAAAATACTTGGGATCGGCACCAATACTGGTATCTGTGCATCGTGTGTGTGTTATAAATGATTTGTATTTCTAGTCCAATTTTGCGGTGCGTCTGCAGTTTTTATTCTGAAGTAAACTTTTGTTTGTAACTCCATTTGTCTCTTAAAATAAAAGATGTTGTTTTTTTTTTTTTTTTAAATCAGATTAATCGAAAAAATAATCGGCCAACTAATCGATTATGAAAAAAAATATTGTAGCCCTCATATATACTCTCCGAGCTCACTCCCGAGATGGACTACAATCTCCGGTTTAGTCTACTGAGTTGTATTGAGATTGTAGTCCATCCCGGGAGTGAGCTTGGAGCGGTGACTACTCTACAACACACACAGGGACCATGGGTAACAGAAGTAGCCACCCCTCCAGAAGGAAGGACAGTGTCAGCACCAATTCAGAGATGATTGGAGGATCTACAGCCGAGTGATACACAAATAAGATACATTGTTGCTCAGAGTTCCAGTACTAGAATGTAAGATTTCACTCCTGAGTTTAGTGTCACTTTAAGGCCCCATTCACACTGCGCGATTCGCAAATTGTGCGTTTGTCGCGCGATTTGCATTTTGCGCAATATCGCGCAAATGCTTGCATTGAATCGCGGCAAAATCCGCTCCAAAAAGGGTCCTGCCGTAGTGACGCACTACCCGCGACAGCAGGACCCTTTGCCCCATTGCCAAGCATTGGAGAGCGATATCGCGCGGTAAATAGCCACGATATCGCGGGGAATTACCGCACGATAAATCGCTCAGTGTGAACGGGGCCTTAAGGTTACAGATGATCCGTCCTGAAATAACCGGGAGGTCCCAAGCCAGAGACTCCGATTAGGGGAAGACGAGCCGACGTGGAGGAGCTGCTGTCGCGGTCAGAGGGTGTGATGGGTGACGCTGATGATGTTTTATATTAAATTGGATTTATGAGCAACATACACATAGGGTTGTGTCAGCATTCACAGTGTTTGTTCTTCTGAGTCGTTGTGCCCCCCCTCCCCCCCCCCCCCCCTGACCATTACATCATTTTATTTCCTGTCATTAGATCTGTTCTTTATCCATTTCCTGTAACAGAGTGACAACAGTGGGTTCATTCTGCAGTGTTGTCGGGTTATTACTAGGTGCACATGGCAATGATTTTCTCTCATTGGCTCTCTTTTTGGTCTGTTTAAATATCCCACTGAAAGCGTTTTGTTAGATTTTGTTTTGCAGGCGCAGAAAAACCTGCCGTCATGAATTCAGAGCTGTCCTGTGTCTTGTGCCGTCTGCCTGTTTGATCTCAGGGAGTCTATTCAGCCCTTCTAGTTCTTATTTAGGGCTACAAGTCATTGCCCAGGCTCTGGAGATGGAAGAGGAACTTGATGGAGTTGTTTAGTAAAATTGAGTAGTTTAGCTAAGAAAATTGTGCAGGGCTGACACCAGTCAGTGCGCACACATGCTGTGTGGTGTCAGCCCACATCAGGAAATTAGGAGCATTTCTGGTAGATGAGCGGGTATTTTATTGTACTGCCCGGGTCTATAAAGAGATGAAATATGAATTGCAGAGATGTACTGTGCGTGTTTTTTATTTTACCTGGATATTTACTGTAAGGTGAACTCCACCTCCTCTTCCTCTTTCACTGCACACTGGGAGCTTCTCACAATGTGAATTAGAAGCTGCAGCAAGTCAGATAGAGCTCCGCCTCATTTCCTGACTGGAGGACGTCCAGCATCATCTAGTGCTTATCTCCCCGGCCTGGTTGCTCCTGGCCCCGCCCCTTCCATCCATTGGCTTTCAGTTCTTTTAATCATGGATGCTCAGCGTCTGATGTGGGTGTTACCTCCTGTAAATACAGTCTGCCTGGGAACGCCCACTCCAAACTGACGCCCACCAATCAAGGCATTTTGATATTTGCATAACTCCTCTAAGGACCAGCCCACTGCTTGCATCAGGGCTGAGGGCTCCTGAGAGGAGTACAGAGGCAGGGTGCTTTGGTGGTTTTAGGAAGCTATGTAGAGCACCCTGCCGGCCCCTCCCACCAGCTATGTACAGCAACCCTGCCGGCCCCTCCCACCAGCTATGTACAGCACCCCTGCCGGCCCCTCCCACCAGCTATTACCTAAATGCATTGTATAGAGAAGCACAGAGACCCAGCGATTCCATCTCCGGGTGTAAAATAAGATATGTAATTAAAACAGAAAAGGCTTTATGTACAAATGTTATTAGCAGAAGGGGAGGAACCAGGGAAGTCAAATATTAGCAGATTAAACTTCAGCTTTAGCAAAGCAACAAATTAAATTCTGGCCTCAGATAATACTCATTGGGCAGCTCCAGCAACAGGTTTGTTTCTTCTTCTTTTGGTAAAAAGATTTAAGCCTTATGAATAAAAGTCAAATCCCCCCCCCCCCCACCTCCACAACGCCCCCGCCGGGGTTTTATGGTCTGTCCCAACCCCCATTATCACTTTTCATCGACAGCTTTGTCTGTATCTATGTGTGGAGAAAGAGATCCACAAATATCTGTACAATAAAAAGGAATTCATTTACTGAATACTGTTACCAGAATTTAATGTTTTTGGATTCCCCGCTCCGATCTGCCAGCGCTGACTGGCGGAACGGACGGGGGAGGGGGTGGGTACTCACGCAGCTCGGCGGATCTCGACATCGATGTAGCTGTAGCTCGCGGTATACTGAGCTTAGGGTAACTGGAGGACGCTAGTTTGTGTCCTCCCGTCACCCTAAGGAGAACTATGGGGAAAAGCCGTGACCCCCATAGTTCTCCTTTAACCACTTGCCGTCAATGGCCGTTCCTGAACAGCCGGACGGTAGCCTTATAGGAGCGGGAGGGCGTCTTAAGACGTCCTTCCCCTCCCTCCGCTCGTGCACGGCGCCCAGCGTGCACACGAGCGGGGAAACTGTCAGAAATGTAAACAGCCAGCGATGGCTGTTTTACATTCAAGCGATCGGGCGTCTCCAGAGTCGCCCGATCGCTTGTAGTAGGTGCGGGTGTGCACCCCCCTTCCCAGTACTACACTGGTGGTCCCGAGATCCCGGTGCTGCTGGGACCGGCACGGCGACGCTGTCAGTGGAGACCAAAGGGAGATCAGTACGCGATCTCCTCTGGTCTCCGAATGCAGGAAGTGATGTATATTACATCACTTCCTGCATTCATTGTCACTCTCCGGTACAGAACACTGGAGAGAAGCTGGTGAAGCAGATCTCTGCTTCATCAGCTTCTCTGGGGGTCCCTAGGTGACATTAGGGGTCTTAGAGACCACTGATGTCTCCATAAAGAGGACCTGTCATGTGAATTGGCTATCACATAGGGGGATTTCTTAGTCCCCTATGTGATAGCAATAAAGTTAAGTGTAAAAAAAAATAAAGAAGCTAAAAAAAAGTGACGAATAAAAAAAAAAAGTAAAATAAACATTTTTTTTTAGTCCCCCGCCCCCCCCCCACATACACACGCAAGAATGCGTCGGGTGCGAACAAGACGATTGCGCCCATTACGCCACACATGTCGCCGCGAACATCGCAGTGAGAGCAATAATTCTAGGCCCATCAATCACTGATAACACTAAACTGATGAGCCGTAAAAGCTTTTAAAGCGTCACCTATGGCCAATTTTGTGTGTGGTCGTTTTCTGCGATTTTGCGGGTGCGCGCAATTTTTTATAGACATGTTTGGTGTCTATTTACCCGACGTGACCCTGACTTTTATATTTTACAAAAAAATTGGGGTAATAATAAATGTTTCATAAGATTTCATAGGGAAACAGGTTTTTTTCCCCAAAATTTTCAGTAATTTTTCCTTTCTATAGTAAAAAATACAAACCCCCCCCCGTGGTGAATAAATACCACCAAAAGAAAGCTCTATCTGTCCCCAAAAAATGGTATAAAATTCATTTCAGTACAGCGCTGTATGACGGAATAAACGTCAGTCAAAGTACCGCAGCGCTGAATACTGAAAAATGTCCGGGACAGGAAGGGGGTGTAACACCCCGGTCAGCAAGGGGTTAAAGTTATATCACCCCCAAATTGTGCGGTGTGCCTCCTGTAGTCAGTTTCGGCTGACATAGCACTCCAGCCCTCCACAGCTTGAGTGGCCGCTGCTGCAGAAACTGGCGAGCGTTGCTTCAAGTCTCTGCCCCCAACCCCTCTGTAATGTGGGGAGCGCTCACATGAATCATGCAAATCATGCAAATCCGTCTGGGCCGCACCGGTAGGGTGGCGTCCGTCTGGGCCGCACCGGTAGGGTGGCGTCCGTCTGGGCCGCACCGGTAGGGTGGCGTCCGTCGGAGCTGTGCAACATTCTAGATACAACTGCCTACAATGTTCTGTACCATCTGGTGGGTTCAGTTGAATGCCATCTGCGGAGGAGCAAGGTTTGGATCTTCTGGATATGGGGTACAGGTCATCTATGGGGAAGTGGTGCTACTGAGCCCTCCTTTAGTCTTCTAGTGACTACGCTTCCCATCAGCCGCTACTGACCAATTAATTTTGTTAAATGACTATAGCTGTATAAAGTTTATTATAACAGGTTTTTGCTGCTTTATTGTATCAGCGTCACGTACACTTTACATTTAGTTTCCTTTCTCAATCGTTTCCTTTTTTCTTTCCTTCACAGACCACCGCTCATCAGGTAGCAATGTCCAAAGTGCCCAATAACTTCACCAGTGTGACGCGACTCAACGTCCCGGGCTACGAGGCGCTCCTGCAGGCGTTATCCAGTAGCGAACGGCAGTGTGCGGAGACCATCGTCAGTATGGGATATTCTTATGAACATGTCATGAGAGCCATGCAGAAACAAGGACAGAACGTGGAGCAGGTGAGACCGATCCTTCCGTTATATCCCAGGAAACACGCCGCACCACCATTCCACTGGCCCGCTGCGCGTACACCTCCCTGTATGCTGCTATCTAATAGCCGCCTTCACCTCTTCCTTCCTGGTGATGATTTCAGAGTGATTTACCAGAAACTTTATACCAAACATTGATATTACATTTTCAGCTCCTCTGGTGCAGAACAGAGTGTGGCTGAGATGGGGACATTAGATTGCAAGCTCCTCCTGGTGCAGAACTAAGTGGGGACATTAAATTGTAAGCTCTTCTGGTGCAGAACAGAGTGTGACTGTGATCTGGACATTAAATTGCAAGCTCCTGTGGTGCAGAATTGTGTGGCTGTGATGGAGACATTAGAGTGTAAGCTCCTCTGGTGTGGAACGGAGTGGGGCTGTGATCTGGACATTAGAGTGTAAGCTCCTCTGGAACGGAGTGTGGCTGTGATGGAGACATTAGATTGTAAGCTCCTCTGGTGCAGAACGGAGTGTGGCTGTGATGGAGACATTAGATTGTAAGCTCCTCTGGTGCATGAAGAAGTGTGACTGTGATGCAGACATTAGATTGCAAGCTCCTGTGGTGCAGAATTGAGTGTGGCTGTGATGGGGACATTAGAGTGTAATCTCCTCTGGTGCTGTGATGGAGACATTAAATTGCAAGCTCCTGTGGTGCAGAATTGAGTGTGGCTGTGATGGAGACATTAGAGTGTAAGCTCCTCTGGTGCAGCACTGAGTGACTGTGATCTGGACATTAGATTGTAAGCTCCTTTGGTTCAGGGACTGATGTAAATATTTGCGTGCTCATTGCACAGCAGAATGTCTGATGCAGCTTTGGCTCGGCACGCATGGCATTCATATTTAAATTTCTTGCCACCTGCGTCAGCACGAGTCCACATTCCAGAGCTTTAGGCCTGCGGTGCTGATTGGCCGCCTGTGCTTAGAGCAGCACTGTACGATGGCATGGCCATGCTCTTTCTGCCCCCTGGACGTCAGCCAATGGGCATCTGATAAAGCACAGAGCCGGTGAGTGAATATAAAGCGCACATCTGGTGCCACGTTCACCCCAAATTCTCCTCCGCCTGCCGAGGGGTTGGATATTTGAAGACGGCATTGTGCCTCGCAGTCTGAAACTGCAGCGTGGGCTGGCTGCCCCCCCCCCCGGCCAGCTTATTACAAGAGCAGAGGCGTGCAGTAATCCTGCCCTCCTGATGAAAGTGTCACTCCCCCCCGCTGGGCGCTGCTCTGTGTCAGAGGGGAGGAGAGAAACTAGAGACGCAACGGATATTCGGCAGAAATATGGTACTTTCTGTATTTTGCCCAAAGTATAATTTTCAGTCGAAAATGTTGGTGCATCCCTACTTGAAGGTGTATTTATAATAACTTTGCAGAGCCATCCTTCCTGACGCACTGCATGTTTGCTTGTTTTGTGCGAATGGAGGCAAAAACGAATGTTAGTAGTAGGTTTATTTTTCGCGGTTGCATGTAATATCAGGAAAATACCACATTATGGCCGCTAGAGCAGTGGTTCTCAACCTGTGTAACCTCAGGACCCACATTTGTCCTTTGTTGTTAAGTTGCGACCCAAGTTGGAACTGCAATGGAACGCATGGCATGTGGTACCGCACGTTCTGATGCAGGCGATTAGAACTGTGGGTGGGAGATGCTTTTTGGGATGCCATTCAAATGAACGGCAATGCAGTGTACTCCCACACCAGAATGCGCTGTGACGGAGCGCCATCCGTATGTGTATCACCTGTAGAGGTGTCGGGAGCCAGAATGTGACGTCACTCCGGTGCAGGCACCTCTACAGGGCACACGAGAGTGCTGTAAGCGATGCATGTATGTAACCCCCAGCCCACCCTGCCTCAAGCTGACACTCGGCACCGGGCGGCATATTTTTAATGAGTGCTCGGTCCGAGAACTGACAGTGCTGTGCTAGGGGGGAGGCTGAGGAGCCTCCCCCCTAGAAAAGTGGAAGACATGTGGGCTTGAACATGGGGTTGCGACCCACTTTTGGGTCACGACCCACCAGTTGAGAACCAAGGCACTAGATGGCGCTAAGGAGCACAGAAGTCTTTATTGCCTTTGCTCCTCAGCGCCATCTAGTGGCCATATTTTCCTAATGTGATATACAACCTGGAAAGAAAATATATCTACTAATTAATATTCATTTTTGCCCCATTCACATGGAACTAATGTACATGTCAGTTTCACAAGGCGAATGGCTTTGTTTATTTTTTTATTCATACACCTCTTCATGTGTCCTCAGCTAGTGAAGCCCACGAGTAATGAGTGCGTATTCTGGATGGAGATGGTGATTGATTATTGGTACATAACTTGTGTGTGCTCCCCTGTCATGTGAGCTTGGGGCTGTTCACTGGACCACCTGTGAGTATGAGGAACCAGATGAATGCCGCTTGTGAAGCTTGTAATGTTCGGATTTTATTGCTGGATGGTTCTGCGATTCATTCAGTGCCGGTTCCCGCCACAAACTCCGCGTTCCAGTGTGTTTGGCCTCTGGAACGCCGGCCGGCTCCCTAGGTTCAGGGGTTGGAGGGGGCGTGGCAGTGCATTGAAGTCAACGGCACAGCAGCCCCGCCCGCAATGCGATCGCCGGCACCCGAACGGGTGGCACATTGGTGCCTGCGTTCCGGTCCAGTGTGATCTGCAAAAAAATAGCGCATGCAGCATTTTTTGCAGATCACACTGGACCGGAACGCAGGCACTAATGTGCCGCGCATTCGGGTGTCGGCAATCGCACTGGGGGTGGGGCGTGGCTGCCGTGCCATTGACTTCTATGCACTGTCACGCCCCCTCCTGCCGCAAAACAAAGTGAGCCGGCCGGGTTGCGTTCCAGAGGCCAAACGCACTCTTTATGGTGTGACTGGGCCCTTTAGGCCTTGTTCACACCAAATGCAGAGCAGATCCGCTCAGGTTTCTGCACACGCAGTGCAGTGGGTTTTGCCGCGTTTTTCATGCGTTCTGGGCCGTTTTTGGTTAAAAAAAATCATTTTTTTTTTTAGTTTTAACATGGGCTTTCAGTGCGTTCCAGGCATTTGCATGCGTTTTTAATGTGTTACAGAGCAGGTAAAATAGGGCTTGCTGCAGTTGTTTCACCTGCTCTGGATCTGCTCTGCAACTGCACGCTGCGATGTGAACAGGAGCAAAAAATACCATTGGAATACATTGGACGCAGTTTTGATCTGCTCTGCACCTGCTCCGCGCTTGGTGTGAACAAGGCCTTAGAGCTGAGATAGGGCCGCGGTTTGTGATTTTTTAATGTTTTTGGTAACAGACATGCTTCAATATTCGTCTTTTTTTTTTTTATCTGCTGCCGTTTGCAGGTTCTGGAGTACCTGTTCATCCACTCCCAGCTGTGCGAGAAAGGCTTCGACCCTGTGCTGGTGGACGAGGCTCTGGAGATGTACCAGTGTTCAGAGGAAAAGGTATGAGGAGCGTAGATATCACTTATTCCAACTCTCATCCTCCTCAAGGAGCAGACTGTGTACTCTGTACAGGACTGAGCGGTCGTATTCCTCTTTGGTCCTTTCAGAGCCTCTCCGAGGCAATCGGCACCTTTTGGGTACGGGACTTGTACACGGGTCTCCCAGATATGAAGGAGAGAAGCCTCTCCTGAGCAGAGGGGCCGCCGCTGCTGGCACTCTGATGATGGGGGTAGTAGTTGTGCTGCTATACTACTCTCCCATTTAGAAGAATAGCACTCCGCTAGCTTTGGGTCAGTTATCAGTCTCTATAGCGCCTTACAGCCTAATACTGAACCAGTGTTCTATCAAAGTTTGTGACTACGTTGGAATGTGTGACCGGTGACGCAGTCACACATTCCAACATAATCCCGCCCAGTTTTACAGCGGTGGAATGTGTGACCGCCAATTAGGTCAAGCATTTCAATGCTTTGTCGGCTGATCCAGGGCAGATTGGCTCACTGTGCATTGGCAGGAGAACCGATCATCTGCCTGGAACAGCTGATCGGTCCTCAAATGTCACCTCTATTGGACTTTGTGGGTGCCGCAGAGGAGGGGTGATTCACAAACCGTAACTGCAGGAGTGTTACAATCAGCTAGCGAGCGCCGCAATTGCATAAAAAAAATGCAGGAATCCCACACTCCCGGAAGTGTCACCAAAGAGTCTTTAGACGGCTGTTTCTTTTTAATAAAGCAGCATTTGCCGCCAGGGGATGGTAGAGGTTTTTTTTCGGTCACTTTAAACATAACTGTTAACATTACCAAAGTGCCTGCGAAGGTTCCCATTCATGCAGGTCATGGTTTATATGTAAAAAATAAATGAAGGGAACTGGACTGGTTGTATTTTTCTTGAAGACGTTGCGCTGGTCATCACCAGCTTTCTCAATTCAGAATGACTTGTACAAAAACTCCCTGTAAATAAATATGGTGACTGTCGCTCCAATCCACATAATCTGTTGGTCACAACCAGCATGGGGCCAGAGACCTCAAGGAGGTAAGGTATTGATTGTATTTGCATGATTGGAGCTAGCAGGTGTTATTGCATCCCTGTCTGCTTTACACCCGGCAATACACTGAGACGACAACTGGTTCACCCAAAAGACCCGACGCCAAAACACAAGATGAACAACATGGTGTACGCAGTCCGGTGCAGAGAGGAGCGCTCAGAATTGTATGTCGGTGAAACAAAACAGCAGCTACACCAGCGTACGGCACAGCATAGAAGAGCCAAACCCTCTGGTCAGGATTCAGCAGTGTACCTACATCTAAAGGGAAAAGGCCACTCCTATGAAGACAGTCAAGTACACATCTCTGACAGGGAGGAGAACTGGTGCGCAGAAGAGGTGTGAAAGAGGCCATTTATGTATATTATTTATTCCCAGATAATTTTTGGTACAAGTCATTCTGAATTAGGAAAGCCGGTCGGATGTCCAGCGAAACGTCTTTAAGGAAAATACAGCGAGTCCAGTTCCCTTGATTCTTTTTTTTTTTTACAGATAAACATTACCCATGACTCTTTTACGTACTTCTTTGTGGTTTTTGGATTTTCTGGTTCCGCTGACGCGCTTCTTTCTCTTTCCAGACAATGCTGTTCCTTCAGCTGATGAGCAAGTTCAAAGAGATGGGATTCGAGCAGAAAGAGATCAAAGAGGTTCTGTTACTACACAACAATGACCAGGACAAAGCTCTGGAAGAGCTCATGACGCGGGTTTTACACTGAAAAGCCAGCTGAAGTATATATATTGTAAGAAGTGCCCTTTAACTTCCAAACTTTCCCCTCTTCCGAGGAATTTGCGCTGAATTTTACAGGCGGAGTCTTACCCGGAAATGGGGGGCGGAAGCGTGGAAGGACAGGCGGTGTGAAGCTGCTCGATGCTTGTACTGGAATACAGACTGCTGATCAGGCAAACCTTTAGTGCAATGATTTTTTGTTTTGTTTTTCGGCATAGTT